GTAACTCACCACAACACTGGTACACTAGTACACATCAGGAGTAACTCACCACAACACTGGTACACTAGCACACATCAGGTGTAACTCACCACAACACTGGTACACTAGCACACATCAGGTGTAACTCACCACAACACTGGTACACTACACACATCAGGTGTAACTCACCACAACACTGGTACACTAGCACACATCAGGTGTAACTCACCACAACACTGGTACACTAGCACACATCAGGTGTAACTCACCACAACACTGTACACTAAACACATCAGGAGTGACTCACCACAACACTGGTACACTAGCACACATCAGGTGTAGCTCACCACAACACTGGTACACTAGCACACATCAGGTGTAACTCACCACAACACTGGTACACTAGCACACATCAGGTGTAACTCACCACAACACTGGTACACTAGCACACATCAGTGTAACTCACCACAACACTGGTACACTAGCACACATCAGGTGTAACTCACCACAACACTGGTACACTAGCACACATCAGGTGTAACTCACCACAACACTGGTCACTAGCACACATCAGGTGTAACTCACCACAACACTGGTACACTAGCACACATCAGGTGTAACTCACCACAACACTGGTACACTAGCACACATCAGGATGACTCACCACAACACTGTACACTAGCACACATCAGGTGTAACTCACCACAACACTGGTACACTAGCACACATCAGGTGTAACTCACCACAACACTGGTACCTAGCACACATCAGGTGTAACTCACCACAAAAACTGGTACACTAGCCACATCAGGAGTGACTCACCACAACACTGGTACACTAGCACACATCAGGTGTAACTCACCACAACACTGGTACACTAGTACACATCAGGTGTAACTCACCACAACACTGGTACACTAGCACAAATCAGGTGTAACTCACCACAACACTGGTACACTAGCACACATCAGGTGTAACTCACCACAACACTGGTACACTAGCACACATCAGGAGTGACTCACCACAACACTGGTACACTAGCACACATCAGGTGTAACTCACCACAACACGGTACACTAGTACACATCAGGTGTAACTCACCACAACACTGGTACACTAGCACACATCAGGTGTAACCTAAACCACAACACTGGTACACTAAGCACACATCAGGAGTGACTCACCACAACACTGGTACACTAGCACACATCAGGTGTAACTCACCACAACACTGGTACACTAGTACACATCAGGTGTAACTCACCACAACACTGGTACACTAGCACACATCAGGTGTAACTCACCACAACACTGGTACACTAGCACACATTCAGGTGTAACTCACCACAACACTGGTACACTAGCACACATCAGGTGTAACTCACCACAACACTGGTACACTAGTACACATCAGGTGTAACTCACCACAACACTGGTACACTAGTACACATCAGGAGTAACTCACCACAACACTGGTACACTAGCACACATCAGGTGTAACTCACCACAACACGGGTACACTAGCACACATCAGGTGTAACTCACCACAACACTGGTACACTAGCACACATCAGGTGTAACTCACCACAACACTGGTACACTAGCACACATCAGGTGTAACTCACCACAACACTGGTACACTAGCACACATCAGGTGTAACTCACCACAACACTGGTACACTAGCACACATCAGGTGTAACTCACCCCCCCCCCCAGCACCAAAATATACGGCGGCATAAGATATCACTTCAACAAAAAATTAATGATGATTAACTAACTCTGCATATATATAAATAATAAGTCACACTAAATGAGAAAAAAAACGAAAAGCATTATTACTTTCATCTGAATTAATTTCAAAAGTGAGCTATCTTTACTCACAATTCAATAAGAAATTTTTGGTAATAAAATTTTTGATCAATGCGTAATTGAAAGAAAAAAGAATTCAATAACTTTGTATTTATATAAAATGCAAATATGCTGGTAAAATGAAAATCATCTAAAAATAAATACAAAAATAAAAAGTATGCAAATACTGAATACTTAATCACTGGGAAATAGAAACTATGAAATAACGAGATTAATAAACAGGACGCTATAAAAACTATAAAAACTAAGATAACTGGAATTATTTAACTGAAATTAAAATAATGTTTAACACGAAGTAAAATATAAATTTTCTGCAAATATTAGCAAAACACAAGGAAAATATTATATACTGGATATTGTAGCACAGAATAGCAGAGTAAAAAATTAGAATAATCGATGGAGAATAAAAGACAAAAATACGCAATGAAAAATATGCAATAAAAATTGCACACACAGAAATTAAAGTTTTTAACATTATGCAAAATATCGAGATATATATGAGTGAGAACAACTTAACTCTTCATCACAGAACGAACAATTGACTCAAAATATAGCAGTGATATATTGAACTTAACAAGCAAGTTTTGCCAGAGTGAATTTGTTCCGATTATGAGAATAAAAATAACACAGGTACAATAAAAATAACACAGATACAATAAGAGGTAATTCATACACTTACTTCACTGTAAGACATAACACATCAAGGGTCACTCACTACACTAATAAATAATATTGAATATAAGAAAATCTTGCTTATATAACTAATGTCTTGCACACAAGCTATTGTTTTGCACTGTCTGTAGAAACTCCACAAATATGGGAACACTGCAACATGTACAATGCTTGATACAAAAAAAAATAGTAGCACATACAGAATGAAAAATGAAATTTTAGCAGACTTGAGAAAATAGTAATTGAAATTAACATACTTGAAATAGCAGGAAAATGCAATGATAAACTTTTTTTTTAAAGTCAGCACGTTAGGATAATTAATTAACAAAATAAAATAAGGTAGGACACACAGCACTTAATAAACACAAATAAGAAAATAGAGCAAGGGAGTTAATGACACAGTGAGATAAATTAACAGGAAAAAATTAACAATAACACTGCGCTCATTAGAGATATTAATAGCAATATTACTCAGTAAGAAAATGTTACTTACCTTGTGTTAGCAGAAAGAACTAATAAGAAAGTACCTGATGTTTTAATAGCAACTATTGATTGCAACACTGCAACCTGGGGTGAATTATACCTGATGTTCAGTGTGTCATTAATTCAACTTACGATGCTTCTATACATGGAACCCCACATTATGAATTGTATGGTATGGATAAACTCTTACCGTGTGAACCGTTATATTCCATCCCGAAACTAAATTGTAATGCAGATGATTTCGTCGCGACTCGTATCAGCTTAGCTCAAAGTGTCTTCAGAAGAATCTCAGGAATATTCCATAAATGAACAGCAAAATTTACAAGAGTTACTAACATTCGTGCAAAGCCAACCAGAATTAAAGTAAGCTCGAGAATTATGCTAGCTAAAACATTCCCAGTGCCAAAGTTCGATCAAAAGTTTGTTGGTCCCCTACCGAGCAGTTGAACATACAGGTGGAAACAAATATAAGGTTAGAGAAATTAGTAACGGTCAGTATAAAGAATCGCACTTATGTCATGAAGTTAGTATGCGATTTTGATGAGAGTCCTGGCACCCAGACGAGCGAGACAGACGCTGACAACCCTCCTGACCCAGTACCTTCCACCTCTAACAACCAGACAGAAGAATAATCTGACTGTTGTACAAAACAAGTGATGAGGAATCCCCAAGTTTCAGTTCTTAATGTTAATGTTGCAGCAGCTAACACAATGCCTCAGTCAAGGCATTGTGTTAGCTGCTGCAACAGAATTTGAGCCCCCCTAGAGATGATGACCACTCTGCATATGTAAATTTCACCTTAGCAGAGTTGGGGTTAAATGTAAATAACCTGTTTAAGTGATTGGTATAGCCCAATGAGTACTTAAATGTGTGCAATAAGTCTTACAGTTCGTTATTTTAACTGTGGATCATTTTTTTTTTTAAGTGTTCACGTTCTTTCTGAATTCTGAGATTTAACAGCAAAAACCTTGTCGAAGATTGAGACACTTATGCAACATATGGGAATCTTTATTCAGGAAACGTTTCGCCACACAATGGCTTCATCAGTCCAATACAAAGCAGAAGGTGTAAGGAGAGGGGGAGTTTGAGGCAATCAGTCCCTCAGCCTGGAGTCGATGTGTTCAGTCCATCAATTCTACAAGACTGATGGACTGAACACATCGACTCCAGGCTGAGGGACTGATTACCTCAAACTCCTCCTCTCCTTACACCTTCTGCTTTGTATTGGACTGATGAAGCCACTGTGTGGCGAAACGTTTCCTGATTAAAGATTCCCATATGTTGCATAAATGTCTCAATCTTCAACTTGTCGGTTTTTCAAGCCATTCATCACAAAAAACTTGTCGGCAGCTGAGTTTGCCTTTTCAGTTAAACACTTTCCCATTGTAAATAAATTTCTTCAGAATCCGTATATCACATGAGTAACGATCGATCGATTTAAATTATCTAAATGTAATATTAATTCCTATGATCCACCATGATTTGTGATGCATTATGTTGTTGTGTACAACGTTCCTTGAATTGTTAGTTAAGCTGTATGTCAGGGACGCCATACGTTACATTACTTGTGTAGTATTACATAAATGATAGTACCATTTATATTCATGGTCCCTTGCTATACTGACGTTACAGGCTCCCTCGGCTAACCAGCTAGTCGACAGCCAACATCTTCACTTCTTGATAGGCCTAGAGACGGGCGGACGTGGTCCAGGCTGGGCTCTCCAAATATTACCAATAATAACGCCACCGTACAACAGTGTACAGTGTGTTCATCGCTACCATCTTCCATTTCAAGAACCCCCACGATACCCCAGTACACACCAGGTGTAACTCACCAAACCACCAGTACCTCAGTATACACTAGGTGTAGCTCCCCACATCCCCTGGAACACCAGTACACACCAAATGTAACTCTCCACACCCCCTGATGCCTCAGTACACATCAGGTGTAACTCTCCACACCCTCGTACCCCAGTACACACCAGGTGTAACTCACCACACCCCCGGTGGACTGGAGGGTGAAGTCGTGGAGACATCGGGCGGTGATGGTGCCAGCGCGAGACTCTAGCGCCACGCCCTGAGGTGCCGTGATCTCCAAGCTCCGCGTCAGAGACTCTAGCAGGAGGTTCTCTCTGACGGGCGCCGTCACATGTGCTGTCTGTACTGACCCGCTGAACACCGCACCTCCTTCACCTGCGGGAGGAGGCCAAGATTGGCACTGTTACTCATGGCACTGCACGAGGCATGTACATATGTATAAACAGGCAAGTGTGCAAATCAGGTACATAATGAAACTGCTGAAAACAGGACAGTTTTGAGATGATCTAGCCTACCATGGGTCAGTAGGCCTATTGTGGGAAGTTTTTTGAATGGAGGAAAAGTAAAGAAGGATAAGACGTTGAGCATTTCTGTGTGTGTGTGTGTGTGTGTGTGTGTGTGTGTGTGTGTGTGTGTGTGTGTGTGTGTGTGTGTGTGTGTGTGTGTGTGTGTGTGTGTGTGTGTGTGTGCGTGTGTGCGTGTGTGTGTTGTGTTGTGTAATTATCTACTTGATTTTGCGCGTATTCTCGTACAGCGCTTGTCCCCATGTATTCACCTAATTGTTTCTCGCTGGGGGTTAAGCTCTAGCTCTCGAGGCCTGCGTTAGCACTTTCGTAAATATTTGCAGCTCCGTAACCTCAGCTCTCGAGTTCATTATGTTTCCACAGGTGGAGGGTAGAGGACGAACAGAGACAGATGATACAAATTTATAAAGAAGAAGGAAAGTGACGAGTATTAGGCAGTAGGTACGATGGGTGCCTAGTGATGAGCAGGGGATGACAGGTGTTAAGAGAATGATGGGTGTCAACAGGTGAAACTTGACACTGCTTGTTAACAAAGATAACTCAGGTGGGTGTCAGGCTATGGAGATGGCGGGGGGGGGGGGAATGTCTGGTGCCAAGTGAAATGTGAGTTGAGACAGATTATAAGTGTCATGAGACACCTACCTTTGACTGTGAGGTGCCTGGCACCGACGAGCACCTCATCACGAGTGGCGGAGAACAGAAGACGACCCTCTTTGTCCCTGATTATCAGCCGCTCAGACGTACACTCCATCGCCTCCGAGTCTGAGTGGGAGAAACAGTGTTATTTGTAAGGACACACATACAAACACACACACACACACGCACACACACACACACACACACACACACACACACACACACACACACACACACACACACACACACACACACACACACACACACACACACACACACACACACGAAGACCTGGCAGAACTACAAAGGGATCTGGACAGACTGCAGGCCTGGTCCAGAAACTGGCTCCTGGAGTTCAACCCCACCAAGTGCAAAGTCATGAAGATTTTGCAAGGGCAAAGAAGACCAAAGAGGCAGTACAGTCTAGGGGGCCAGAGCCTACAAACCTCACTCAAGGAAAAGGATCTTGGTGTGAGTATAACACCCGGGAACATCTCTTGAGGCGCACATCAACCAAATAACTGCTGCAGCATATGGGCGCCTGGCAAACCTCAGAACAGCATTCCGACATCTAAATAAGGAGTCATTCAGGACCCTGCACACTGTGTACGTTAGGCTCATATTGGACTATGCAGCGCCAGTTTGGAACCCTCACCTAGCCAAGCATGTAAGGAAACTAGAGAAAGTGCAGAGGTTTCCACCAAGACTGGTCCCGGAGCTAAGACGTATATCATACGAGGAGAGGTTAAGGGAAATCGACCTGACGACACTGGAAGACAAAAGAGTTAGGGGGGATATGATAACGACGTAAAATATTGAGAGGCATAGACAAGGTGGACAGAGACAGGATGTTTCAGAGATGCGACACAGCAACAAGGGGACACAGTTGGAAGCTGAAGACTCAGATGAACCACAGTGATGTTAGGAAGTATTTCTTCAGTCACAGAGTAGTCAGGAAGTGGAATAGCCTAGGTAGTGATGTAGTGGAGGCAGGTTCCATACATAGCTTTAAGAAGAGGTATGATGAAGCTCACGGAGCGGGAAGAGTGACCGGGTAGCGGACAGTTGAAGAGGCGGGGCCAGGAGCTGTGAATCGACCCCCGCAACCACAACTAGGTGAGTACAACTAGGTGAGTACACACACACACACACACACAGTTGGAAACTGAAGACTCAGATGAACCACAGGGATGTTAGGAAGTATTTCTTCAGTCACAGAGTAGTCAGGAAGTGGAATAGCCTAGGTAGTGATGTAGTGGAGGCAGGTTCCATACATATCTTTAAGAAGAGGTATGATAAAGCTCACGGAGCGGGAAGAGTGAGTAGCGGCCAGTTGAAGAGGTGGGGCCAGGAGTTGTGAATCGACCCCCGCAAGCACAACTAGGTGAGTACACACAAAAGTTCAACAAAATGTGGACAAAAATTGGAGGAAAATACTCAGAAGTGAATAGAACTGAGAATCCAAAGAAGACTAACGAAAAGTGAAACATACGAAAGAGAATGGAATTTAACAGTGACCATGACCAGAGACCATCATATAACAACTATCACAACCACAGTAACCATGACCAGAGACCATCATATAACAGCTATCACAACCACAGCGACCATGACCAGAGACCATCATATAACAACTATCACAACCACAGTGACCATGACCAGAGACCATCATATAACAACTATCACAACCACAGCGACCATGACCAGAGACCATCATATAACAACTATCACACCCACAGCGACCATGACCAGAGACCATCATATAACAACTATCACAACCACAGTGACCATGACCAGAGACCATCATATAACAACTATCACAACCACAGTGACCATGACCAGAGACCATCATATAACAACTATCACAACCACAGTGACCATGACCAGACACCATCATATAACAACTATCACAACCACAGTGACCATGACCAGAGACCATCATATAACAACTATCACAACCACAGCGACCATAACCAGACACCATCATATAACAACTATCACAACCACAGTGACCATGACCAGAGACCATCATATAACAACTATCACAACCACAGCGACCATAACCAGACACCATCATATAACAACTATCACAACCACAGTGACCATGACCAAAAACCATCATATAACAACTATCACAACCACAGCGACCATAACCAGACACCATCATATAACAACTATCACAACCACAGCGAGACGATACAATCACTCAACTATAATGACACCAAACAAAAGGAAGATGATAAATATTTCACAATGAATAACAAACAAATCAAATCTATCGTTAGGTAAACCTTTTTTCAAGTAATTGATAAAAGCATGAGCGACCAGTGAGATATTTTATAGCTGCAATGTTTCGCTCACCAGGAGTTTGGTTAAGACAAAGCTCCTGAAGAGCAAAGCGTTTCTGCAATAAAATGTCTAATTACTTGCGCAAATGGAAAACAGGAAATATCGAACTGATTTTCAAAAAGAAATTAGACTTAACAAAGCCAACTAGAGACAAAGATTATTAAAATATTCAGGAGACGACGACAAACACGACGGCAGCCGTGACAACGACAACAGTGACGACACCACCTAGCATCCCCTCCCCATATAGATGATGAGAGGGGAGCGACTGGGAGATGACGCAAGTGAGGCGGAGTAGGAGGAGGAGTAGGAGGAGGTGGAGGAGGAGGATCAGGAGGAGATGAAAAAGACGGGAGGCTGAGGATGCTGGCCGCGGATCATCCTCTGACCAATTTACCACACGAGCGACTTTAAGAGCAACTGTGTCAGCAGTCGCTGAGTATTCTGCCCTTTTCTACCAGATGGTACCTAAGGAGCATTCAGGAACCATTCGCGACGAGCGTCCGCTCAATGTGGCGGAAATTTGCGGAGCAGGACCTTAAAGAATCATCAGCGAGCATTCAATAAAAAAAAAAAAAAAAAAATATTGGGAGGCGGTTCTTCAGAATTTATTGGTTGGTTAATGGGGTTTAAAGCTTGTCGATTGCACGAGGGTCATTAAGGCTGCTTGTCAACTGTTTGCCACCAGTCGAGAAAATTTTAATACCTAAACTAAGGATATATATATATATATATATATTATATATATATATATATATATATATATATATATATAATATAATATATATATATATATATATATTATATATAATATATATATATATGTAATATAATAATATATATATATATATATATATATATATATATATATATATATATATATATATAAAATATATATATATAATATTTTATTTATTTTATTATTTTATTAGCACACTGGCCGATTCCCACCAAGGCAGGGTGGCCCGAAAAAGAAAAAAATTTCACCATCATTCGCTCCATCACTGTCTTGCCAGAAGGGTGCTTTACACTACAGTTTTTTAAACTGCAACATTAACACCCCTCCTTCAGAGTGCAGGCACTGTACTTCCCATCTCCGGGACTCAAGTCCGGCCTGCCGGTTTCCCTGAATCCCTTCATAAATGTTACTTTGCTCACACTCCAACAGCACGTCAAGTATTAAAAACCATTTGTCTCCATTCACTCCTATCAAACACGCTAAACGCATGCCTGCTGGAAGTCCAAGCCCCTCGCACACAAAACCTCCTTTACCCCTCCCTCCAACCCTTCCTAGGCCGACCCCTACCCCCCCTTCCTTCCACTACAGACTGATACACTCTTGAAGTCATTCTGTTTTCGCTCCATTCTCTCTACATGTCCGAACCACCTCAACCCAAACCCCTTTCCCCAGCCCTCTGGACAACAGTTTGGTAATCCCGCACCTCCTCCTAACTTCCAAACTACGAATTCCTGCATTATAATTCACACCACACATTGCCCTCAGACATGACATCTCCACTGCCTCCACCTTCTCCTCGCTGCAACATTCATCACCCACGCTTCCCCACCCATATAAAAGCGTTGGTAAAACTATACTCTCATACATTCCCCTCTTTGCCTCCAAGGACAAAGTTCTTTGTCTCCACAGACTCCTAAGTGCACCACTCACTCTTTTTCCCTCATCAATTCTATGATTCACCTCATCTTTCCCTAGACCCATCCGCTGCACGTCCACTCCCAAATATCTGAATACATTCACCCCCCTCCATACTCTCTCCCTCCATCTGATATCCAATCTTTTATCACCTAATCTTTTTGTTTTTCCTTTAACCTTACTCTTTCCTGTATTCACCTTTAATTTTTTCTTTTGCACACCCTACCAAATTCATCCACCAATCTCTGCAGCTTCTCTTCAGAATCTCCCAAAAGCACAGTGTCATAAGCAAAGAGCAGCTGTGACAACTCCCACTTTGTGTTGTGAATTCTTTATCTTTTAACTACACGCTCTTGCCAGACACTCGCATTTACTTTCTCTTATAACCCCATCTATAGATATATTAAACAACCACGGTGACATACACATCCTTGTCTAAGGCCCCGACTTTTCTGGGTGAAAAATTTCCCTTTTCCTAAATACTCTAACTTGTGCCTCACTTCGTGTGCCTGTTCCTCATAAAAACTCTATCACTGCTTTCAGGAACCTAACTCTACACCTTAAACTTGCAACATCTGCCACATTGCCCCCATATCCACCTGTCATACGCCTTTTCCAAATCCATAAATGCCACAAAGACCTTTTAGCCTTATTAAATACTGTTCACTTATTTGTTTCTCTGTAAACACCTGGTCCACACACCCCCTACCTTTCCCTAAAGCCTCCTTGTTCATTGCTATACTATTCTCCGTCTTACTCTTAATCTTTCAATTATAACTCCTACCATAATCTTTACCAGGTACACTCAACAGACATTATCCCCCTATAATTTTAGCACTCTCTTTTATCCCCTTTGCCTTTATACAAATGAACTATGCATGCTTCTGCTCCTAGGTACCTTACCCTCTTCCATACATTCTATTAAATAATTGCACCAACCTACTCCAAAAACTATATCCCCACCTGCTTTTAACCATTTCTATCTCTATCCATCAATCCCGGGCTCTGCCTATACCCCCTTTCATTTTACCTACTGCCTCACGAACTTCCCCACCTCAACAACTGGCTCTCCTCATCCTACAGATGTTATTCCTCTTGCCCTATACACGAAATCACAGGCTTCCCTATCTTCATCAACATTTAACAATTCCTCAAAATATTCCATCCATTTCCCAATACCTCTAACTCTCCATTTAATAACTCTCCTCTACTATTTTTGACTGACAAATCCATGTTGTTCCTCTAGGCTTTCTTAACTTGTTATCTCACTCCAAAACTTTTTCTTATTTTCAACAAAATTTGTTGATAACATCTCCCCACTCTCTCATTTGCTCTCTTTTTACATTGCTTCACACTCTCTTAACAACTCTCTCTTTTTCTCCATATACTCTTCCATCCATTGCATCACTTCTATTTGTAAAAACTTCTTCATATGCTAACTTTTCTCCCTTACTACCTCTCTTTACATCATCATTCCACCAATCCTCCTCTTCCCTCCTGCCACCCACTTTCTGTAACCAAACTTCTGCTGAACACTCTAACACTAAATTTTTAAACTACCCCCATTCCTCTTTGACCCCATTGCCTATGCTTCATTAGCCCCACATCTATCCTCAATAGCTGTTTATATCTTACCTAACTGCCTCCTCTTTTAGTTTTAATAAACTTACCTTCTCTTCCCTGATGCTTCTATTCTCCTTGTATCCCATCTACCTTTTACTCTCAGTGTAGAACTACAACTAGAACGTGATTGATATATCTGTGGCCCCTCTATAAACATGTACATTCTGAAAGTCTACTCAACAGTCTTTTATCTACCAATA